GGGAAAGAGATTCTGACAAAGATGGCAAGGTTAACTTTCAAGAGTTTTTCCATGGGCTATTCGATTTGGTGAGAAATTATGATGAAGAAGGTCATAATTCTTCACATCTATCAGACAATTTAATGGAGGCCCCTGCTAAGAAATTGTTCAATGAGCTAGACAAAGATGGTGACGGGTATTCATCTGGTGTTCTCTCTGCTTTTCATTTTTATTTTTCTTGTTCTTTAGTATTCTTTGACTAGTAATCTTATTTCCACAAATGGTTTAGAAGTTCCATTAATACCTTGACCTGGCTGTGTGCCCTTCATAGATTTTTGTCAGACATAGAATTGCTACCTATAATTGGGAAACTTCATCCATCAGAGCGTTATTATGCAAAACAACAAGCTGATTACATCTTGTCACAGGTAATATCTTGACTGCAAATAACTTATGTCTGATTGATAATTGATGTGTGACTCTGTGCTTGCTAACCTTGTTACCTTTGTATTTGTAATGGCAAAATGACGATTTAGAATATATTTTGAGTGTCGAAGGTCCATTTTGAATATTATATGAAATATATTGCAGGCTGATTCTGATAAAGATGGACGTCTATCCTTGACAGAGATGATTGAGAACCCATATGTATTTTACAGTGCTATTTTCAGTGACGAAGACGACGACTATGACATACATGATGAGTTCCGTTAATTTCTGCTAGGCAGGTGGTGCTGCTACTCTACCTTCCCTTTTTTGTTAAAAAAAAATGGTCTTCAACTATGTTTTGCACTTAAAATTTATTTATTTTGTATCCTTAATTACAGGATATTTCTCAAAAAAAGAAAACAGCAGCAGAACTCATTCTTTTGTGGTCTATACGTTGGTAATGATAAAGTTCTTATTCACGAGGATTGCGCACCACAACTTTCTTTTTTGGTGAGTGCTTGTGCTGTCATATAATCCCACAGTTTTTTCTTTTCTTTTTCTGAATGATTCAAGGTGCAAAAAATAAAGGTTTTTATTCTCATTCTTGCAGATTGCTATGGAGCCCAACTCATTCTGTAGTGAAATTTACAATTAGATCATTTAGTTGGACCATCGACTTTCTAGCATAAATTTGTTGAATTACGCTTGTTTTTTAGATTTTTGGTTTTCAATTTGTGATATTTCTATCTAGTCAACATGCAAGTGTGTATTATATAAGACTTAACATCATTAATTGTTTAGAGCGAGGTAATTTGAAGCAACAGACAGTAGATTTTGTACACTGTCAAAAATGAGTTTCTTAGAGTTTAAGCCAAGGCGTTGCATCGACTTGTGCAATTATGGCTTTTTTCGTTATTCTTATTTTTGCTACAGTCATATTTTTTCAAATTAAAGGTCTGATCTATCAATGTAGCAAGCAAGCTTGTTTTAAAGGCCTGATTTATTTTACATGGTGCAGTTTGACTTGAAATGCTGGTTTTCTATATCTAAATGAATCTCAGATTCGATCCCTGATTCTGTAGATTATGTTTATGTGGGTAATCAATCATTCCCATTGGTAGAGTCCTGGGAAAAACTTGCAAAAAAACACATATTCATGTAACAGGTTCTCTAGTTACAAGGTTGACTCGGGCAACTTTGCATTTGCTGTGAGGTCTTCAAGAGTATGCTAGAACATTTGCTCCCTAGAAAGTAATGGACATCTAAGAAATCGACGTCCGTGTTTTTTATTTACGGGATATGTTCTGAAAGTGCCTTTGGAACCACTCTTAGAGTCGCCCTTTAATAAATCTGTCATCACGCAATCTCCTATAGGGAACCGGCTCTGCTCTCCCGTTGATGTTGCTTTGTGGTTGATCACACTTAATTTTCATCTCTCCTGTTGATGTTGCTTTGTTGCTGATCACTCTTAATTTTCCTTTCATAATCATTCCAAAAATATCAGAGCATTCCCCCTTATTTTCGAGATAAACAAGTTTTTTTATAAAAAAAAATTTGCCCAAAGTAAAGACAATGGCAGCTTAGTTTCCCAAGTTCGCCTAGGAGGGGACATTGGAAGGGTGGGTTCCTTTGCTGCTGAAGGGATCAGAGTTGCGTGGGGATTGAAAGGACAGCTGCAAAATGCAAACGAGTCGAAAGCTGTTCTCCAAGATGCTGGGGAAAGGAAAGTGAAAGGCGAGCCAGTGAAAGGACAGGTGCAAAATGTAAACGAGTCTATGACATTAATAAAATAAAAGCTTTCTCTGAGATGCTGAGAAAAAGAAAGCAAAAGACAAGTCAATGAAACTACCATAGGTTATAATGCCGAAGAAGTTTCAGACGATTTCGCTTATGAGGCGCTTCGCAAAGACAAACAGAAGGGAGAGGAGTGGGATTTCTTTTCACTGCACAATCCTGTTGCATTTGATATGAAAAATTAATAGAGCCCTCAGTGAAATCAAGAAACTTTCAGTAAGTTGGCCGTGGGCTTGGAATTACATCTGCAAATAGAACTCATGAAGTTAGCTGGGATCAAGACCCAGAGACAGATTCCTTCTTTGACAGCTCGGAAATTGTTATAGAAATGGAGGAAGATGTGTCTAGAGTTATGGGATTGCTTCTTAAATCAACGAGTTATTCCAGTCGTCTCGACTGTGGGGATGGCGGGTCTCGGAAAGAATAGTGTTGCAGAAAAAAAGCTTGTGTGTGAAGCAATGAAGTAGAGAACTTTTTGATGTAACAGTATTGGTTTGTGTTTCTATCGATTTTAATGAAGGCTGGATTTTAGGAGACATGCTGCAACTGTAGGTGGAAGGCTAGAAGCCCAGAGTATTATTTGGTTTCGTAACAGTGATGAAGATTCAAAATATTTTTTATTTAAAAATATATTAAAATTATTTTTAACATCACTACATTAAAATATTTTAAAATTTTATTTTAAATAAAAAAAATTTAAATTTTTTTAAAATATAATTTACATCGTATTTCTAAATAGATTGAAAAAATAATTAAAAAAAATTAATGAAAAAGCTGGACAAGAAAATGTTGTGCTTTTTTTTATTTAAAAATTTTCCCCGACATAAATACTATAATATGTAATATTTAAAAATTAAAATTTATTTATAAATAAATTAAAGTTTTATCTTAAAAAACTTTTAACAAGGCTAGTAAAAAGTAAATATTTTATTGTAAAATTTGTTCCACGTCGGATTAAAATTCTTCTTTGCTTTTCCAAGGCCTGTAGATTTTATCCCATATAAAAAAAGAAAGAGAATATTCTTCTATTCCAGGGCATGCATGTGTGTAATTTGTTAAACTAAAAGTTACGGCACTAATTAAAAGTATGACAACTCAGTTAGATTGCATACATGTTCATAAGTCAAAATATAATACTTAAATTGAAATTGAAATTGAATTAAAATAATTTTCAAATGTAATACTTAAATAATTTTCTAGTGAGCGTGAATAATAAGCATTTGGTCAAATATAAAAGCTGTAATTGAATCAACGAGATCCTATTAGGACTGCTAGCACATATAAAACAAGGTACTATCCTTAACCTAGTTGATCAACTGAAAACATTGTGCAATCCATTGTTCATACACACTGGACAATGTTCTTTATTTTTTTTCCTGTACATTAGATTCAAACAATGTTCTTTATTATTTTTTGTCCTTGGAAGATTCTTCTATCTTAGTTTTCAAATTTATTTTTTAATTTTTTAATTTTATATTATATTGATTTAGAAGTGAATTTAGTAATTTTTTTAATTTTTGAAAAAAACACTGTGCTATTGAATTTTATTTGATTTTTCAAAAAAAATGGTTTTACAATAAATTTGGTTTTGTTTATTATATTTTAGAATGGCATTTTAGTCTAAAAAAATCCTACTTGATTTTTCAGGCCCCTTTTCAGGGGGCACAATTTAAACAAGCAAATAACATGTGGTTCGTTATTGTGTAAAAAATGCAAGGCACGCGGCATGGCCTTGTTGGCCCACGTGCGCTGAGCATTCCTTCCTTGGTCAAACATGAGAGCCCCCATTTCTTTGGCCCAGGCTTTTGTGTCCTTTTTATGTTTTTTTTTTTCAAGATTTTTTTTATTTTGATTGAAATGAATTATAAAAATTGCTTAACATTGTATTTAAATTATTATTAAATTTTATCATGATTTTTAAATAATATTATATTTTTTTATAGGAATGGTAATAAGAGGTAGTAAAGATGGGTTTTTACTTATTATTCAGGCATTGACCATTATTTTTTATATATTTGAAAACAAAATAATCTTAAAATAAATAATTGTAGCGATATTTTTAAGAATCATCTGATCATACCATTCTCTTAAAATAAAAGAAATCAAAAGAATTGAAATGGAAAGTAAATTACATCGCGACCGACACTTGCCTGGTGAGTTTTTGCTCTTTCCTCTTACTTTTTCTCTGGTTAGAAATTCTGTGGTTCCCAGTTCATCTCCCACCAAAGCAATCACAATCGCCAGCTGTCTTTACGACCCCAGGACAAGAATCAATCGTATTCGGCTGGCTGCAGGCCGACTTGGACCCACACGAAATGTGAAAGGAAGCCCCTCATTTGCCTGTAAGTGGACCCTACCGTCACATGCATTACCGCGTGGCATGTTTTCAATTTGAGGAACCAGGGGTGGCCATGGTTCTGTATGTTCCGTGGTATATATCATTCTAGCAACCACATTACCAAATGTCAGAACTTTTTAACAATATTTGTGGCACGTTTGTTTTTGTAGTCGTGGAAAGCTTTTACCGCTTCTTTTTTTTTTTTCGAGTTATTTTTAAAAAAATTTAAATTATTTTAATTTGTTAATATGAAAAAAATTTAAAAAAATTCAAGATATTATATTGATATGTTTTAAAATAAAAAGGTAATTCAAAAAATAATATCTAATACAGTATTGAATGGGATCTAATACGGTATTTGAAATAGTAGTATAAGTTGTTTTTAAAAATATTTTTAGTTTTTAAATCCATTTAAATAAAATATATTTTTTTATTTTTAAAAATTTATCTTCAACATTAACATGTGAAAAATAAATCAAAAAATATGAAAAAATAATTTGAAGCAAATTATTTTTTAAATAAATGATGAAATAATGGTTCAACCGTTGCGTTAAATGGCCCCTAAGCCTACACGCTTTCTACCATGGGTCATAGTTATATTTTTAAAAATAAGTATATGAGTTATTTTGTTATTTTTTATGTAAAAAAATTTAAATTATAAATTGAAAATCTTTTTTGAATATTTAATTAAATAAATCAATGGCTATGTATGTATGCAAACAAGAAATATTTGCTAATAATAATTAAAAGATAAACTGTAAAAATTAAAAAAAATGTGTAGATCGTGATATCTAACATGAAAAAAATAAGATATTTATCTACTTATTTCTATTTGATTTGTTTATGAAATCAATAAAAGATGATAGATTATAGAAACACATATGAAACTGTATAAATAAAAAACATATTATGGAAGGTCGGACAAATCAAAAATATTATTTTTAAATAACTATTTTTTTTTTACAAAATAAAACTGATATGTATAATTTTTTTTAAAAAAATATTCAAAAATAAAATGCAAAATTTTTTTTAAAAAAACCTCTATAAAAAAAAGGCATATAAAATTTATGGTCTAAATTATGAAATATGATAAACTGGTAGAAAAAAATTGAATATAATCACAAAACTATTTTTTATAAACAAATAATGTATAATTATAAAATTCTAAAAACAAATAAGGAAAAAAAAAGATATTTAACTGCATTAACTCTTAAAACTCGTGGCCTGTGTCATCAAATCAGAAGTGCGACAAATAGAAAAGCCACAAAAACTAATTTTGAATAGATTGGACATCGAAGGATAAAACTAAAAAAAATAAAAAAATAATTAGAGAGTATCGAAAAAATTTAAACTGGAGGATTAAATAAAAAAAAATTAGACAAAAAAAAAGAGGGTTAAATTGAAAAAAATAAATCACTATCAATTTTGATTAAAATATGAAATTAAAAACTAGTATAACTTTAACGAGAGAGTTGGGAGAAAAGATCACATATCAAAATAATAAGAAGTGAATTGAAAAAAAAATATATATGATAAATTATAATTTAAAAACTATATTGAAACATGTATAATTTTTTGAATGGTTAACGATGAAAATAAACAAAAAAAAAGATATAAATTGAAAAAAAAAAAAAAAACATGCATATATTTTATTTGAAATAAAGGGGAGAGAAAGAAAAAAAAAACAGGCCATCGATGACAAACCATTTATCACCTGCTATCACGCACTGCATTAGAAAGAAGAGAGTGTGGCGGCGCTACCTCCGACCAAAAACATGACAAAATAGATGGTGTCATACATGCCATTTAAAGAACATAAACTCCACTCATATACTGACATCATGCATGTGTTAATAATTTTTTTAAATAAAATTTTTTTAAAACATCAAAAGACCCATCACAACCCTCAAAATTACAAATAAATATGTAAAAATGTAATTTTATTATATAAAAATATAGAAATAATTTAGATATTTCAAACAATTTTTTAATAACCAACTAACCATTAAAAATACTAAATTACCCTTATAACCAAGTCTCCCATTTTTTCCGCTCAATAGTAAAATAATAATTCTATCAGAGCAATTTATGTTAAATGTAAAAACTCTAAACGTTCAATATCAAAGCTGAGACGTCATAGACAAATAAAAACGTAGTTTCAGAGTTCAAAATGCGTGCACTAGATAAACATTATATCGAGGTCCCGCTTCTCTGGTTATATATAAACATGCTGTAAGGTATTATAGTGGATTCTTCTTGAAACAAGTTGCCAAGTGACGTGTTCTCAGCGGAGGAAAAGGTCCTTTCGCCAATGATAACACACGCCAGGTGGGAAGGTTACTCGGCAATCTGGTTCCTTCGAATTCACACTCCACGGATGAAGGGTCTTTAAAGTAGGTGATTTGAAAAATCAAGTGCTATACTTGTATAAAATTTAATTCCAATGAAGTTATATCCTCTTTTGAATATTTATTTGAGTGTTTATACCTCTCTATTTTTATAATTAAGTGTTCATACTTTTATTTTTTGTATCCGAGTTTACGGATTTTTATTTTCTTCAATTAAATTTTTATATTTTTTTTTATATTTGATATGTTGCTATATTAGTATTTTAAAAAGATAAAATCTTAAATTTTTTTAATTAAATTATATTTTAATGAGTTATATAAATTAGTTTTAGATTTATATACTCAATAGAGTTACATCATGTTAATCTTTATATGATTTAGTTTTTTATTAAAAAAAATATTAATAATATCTGAACATGATATAGTGCAGGTGAATAATTCATGTATGATAAATGGACACTTGCCTTTTTCATCGTAGGATCTAATATTTATAATTTTTTTTAAAAGGTAAAATCAATAAAAAAATGTGAAGAGAATACAAAAAATATATATATTTTAATCATTAAAACACAATAACCCTACAAAAAATGAAAAGAAAAGGAAGAAGATGAAGAAGAAACGTCATGTTTCAACAGGGAAGTTTGTTTGTTTATTTTTTTTTTATTAACGTGGATGTCTGGGCAGTTTGCGCGTACCACAACTAATCCCACGGGTCCTAAAGTTAACGACTATATAAGTCTTTAGTGGCCATCATATGAGCAACTAAAGACTCAAATCTGAAACTACAAAGAAAGTAAACTCTTTAATCCAAGTATTTATCACTTGGGACCACCTAAATAGTTGTCTGTTTATTCTTCTTGAATGGC